GCATGATCTCCATGTAGCGAGGGGTGGAAACAAAACGCCTGGTCCTGTGGTGGGCTAAGGGGAGACACACAGAGGTTAAACCACACTGGGTTCACAGGTCATGAGAGCTGATTACAGGCCTAAGGGCTCATTATCACTGTGTATTTTGATAGAAATCATTCAGTTTATCTGAAACAGCTTGTTAACTACTAAACTGTGCAGCAGTGTTCTAAATAGCAGCTACAAAGGCTCGTTTTTTATTTTTTTCCAGAGGGACAGACTCTCCACAGAGAGCTCCGGATGTGCCTGGAGGAGCCTGGCTGCCGTGACTCAGCGTCACACCACCGGCGGCTCCTCCTCCTCGGGGTCCACATTCCTAAAATGACCTTCTCTGGTGGAAAATTATGCGAGTGAGAAAGGGCGAAGGGAGAAAATCCTTTCTGGGGAAAAATGTCTGTCGGTGCGAGTTGTACCAGGAGACGAGTTTACACGTCTCAGCGCTACCGGGCTCTGGCTGGCCCCTCCGCCCACCTCCCCTCCCCTCTCTCCGTCACCCCTCCTCTTTTCCTCTTAAAGAAGCTTGCCTCCCCCTCTCAACTTTCCTCCCCCCCTCTTTCTCCCTGGTAGTGAGCTGACAGCGCTGTCAAAAGGTAGCTGAGTCCATTGCGCATGCTGTGCGCCTCTGGCACACGAACGCTTCCAGCTGACAGCAGTTTGGTTGCATATTCACGACTGATTTATAGAACATACATTTTGCTTATTTCTTGGTACAAAGTTTCAGATAAGATGAATATCGTTCACGAGATTCTACAGAAGGAATAAATCAGTGTTTCCCTGGCCACTTTCTGATTATTTTAGCCCTCAGTTTATGAGAGAAAGTGTGTGAAATGCGCACAGCCTTACCTGTCTGGTCTGCGTTAGGGGCTCCGTGACTGGCTTCGTTTTCCAGATTCTTTGGCACCCTCTCCTCGTCCTCGTTGACCCCGCACTTGGAGCTGCCCTCTTCAGCCAAAGCTGCCCGGCCTCTCCGGCGAATCTGGTGGACATCCTCCTCACTGCCCAGAAAGTCACTCGAGTTGAGGGGCTGAATAAAGTACTCTTCACCCCGAAAGTAGAATCCGCCCCTCAGTCCGTGGCACAGGTTGAGCGCAGCGGCGGAGTGCTCCTCTCCATTCACCGTACCCGAGAAGAAGCAGCCCGGCTCGACTCCGCTCTTGGGTTCCGGCGTCGGTTCGGACTCGGGGGTCCCCACAATGTGGAAGACAAAACCCGGCGCCAAGAAGGTCTGGTCAGGCTCGAGCTGCAAAACCAACTGCTTGCCAAATACGTCCAACCGGTACACCCTCATCTCCGCCTCCTTCTCCTTCTCCTCTGCGGAGGGAGTCCGCCATGGTTCGGTTTCGCTCTCCGACTGGGCCGCCGGGTCTAATCTGACCGGCACAACGGTGCTCTCCTCCCAGGAGCTGTGCGCTGCGTTTACGCACAGGGCGGCAATGAAACCAATGGAGACGCGTAAAAACCACATCATGTAACTGTGAAATCCGACAAGTGGAAAAATAAATTGAGAATAAAGTCTCTATAATGAAGCAAGTAAATCCTTTAAAAGGTTTCCACTATGAGCTACAAACCAAAAGTCTTTGAACTTCCACAAAACTGTCCCCAAAATTACGCACAAGAGTCTAAAAAGGGATCAAATCCAGTGCAAAACTCTTTTAAAAGTTATGTGCAAGTCTGACTTGTTGCAAATAAGTCCTTTCATTAAATGAAAATAAAAGCTGGATATCAGCAGTAAATTCCAACAGGTCTCTTTCTCTCTTTCTGTCTCTCTCCAAAACTCTGATGTCTCAGTTTCTCGCTCTAGCTTTAAGTTCGGGGGCAGGTTCTTGCTCTGCTGGCCCGTCTACTCTGTTCTCTGCTCTTGCCTTGCAGTCAGAACAGAGCAGGTCCCTCCTATTTATCCCCCTGCCCCGGACCACCCCTTTCCTGAGGGCCCTTTGATCTGAGAGGGGCCAAATCCCGTGCGCAACGAAAACGCACCAGCGACCTGGAGCGTTTTCAATCATTGTGGAGGATAGAGAGCTCTGGGCAGAGAAACTTTTTCTTCTTCAGTCTGTGCTTTGCCTGTCATAGAAGTTACACACATATATACACACACACACACACACACACACACATACACAGCCCCTCATAGTATTTTGACTAAATATATTATATTAATATGTATCATAGCCTTGTGGATAAATTTACGCAAAGTGCATTACATGTGCCACAAGTGTATGATATGAGTGGCTAAAATACAAACCAGCTTTGTCACTGATTCGGTGCTCTACTTTCTGACTTACAGAGCTGTGTAACGTTTTTTAAACCTCAGTTTCTTCCAGTATAAATTAGGGTGACGGGCAGCAGTGGCTGATGTGGAGCAGTGTTGTAGTGTCAGTGCAACTGGAGAAGGGGAGGTCGGGAACGGTAACCATATCGTGCTGGCCGGGGTTCCAGGAGCCGTACTCACCTCCTCTGTGCCAAGCCGGCTGTGGTGCGCCGTGGCCGGGTTCCGCAGCTCCGCTCCCCGGGGAGAGGGAGCAGAAAGGGGCCGCTGAGGTCTTAAGGTGGAGAGCCTCCTCCGCCGGGCTGCGTGTGCGCTCCAGCCGAGGCAGCCAGAGCCCCTGTCCTCCGGCTGCTTCCCCCGCCCGCACCCACTGTTGCTCCTCTCCAAGAGACAGGAAGAGTTTACGCTGGAGTTTCATTAAAAATAACTGGCAAAGCAGAGATCCTATTATCAGCAGTGAGACATTACAATAAGAGATAATGTATTCAAAGAAAGGAATAAACCTGATTCAGTGAGAGAATGCTGAGGAAAATCTAGTTATTGGAAACCATTAAAACAATCAGTCTTAAAATATATCACACATAAACCTGCAAACACTTAAATATCTTAATGTAGGATATTCTCATTAGTGTGGTAGCCTTTATTGATTTCAGGGGAAACTTAGGTAGATCCTAGAGCGCATATTGGCATCATCTCCTACTTTGGATTCACTGAGGCAAACATTCTGAAGGGACAGATCCTGGAAGTCCACCTTAAAAGCAACAGGTCAGACAAAGTGGATAAGTGTAACTCCACCAACCTCCAGCAGATGGCAGACATCTGCTGAGGAACATCTCCAAGCTGTTGCAGAAATTTTAAATGACTGGATGGACAATTTTCAATTACAGCCGACAGGGGGCGCCCTTGCATTACATTTAGAGATGGGGAATAAAACTCAGAATGCAGCCACTGACCACACAGAGGCAGCCTGTGCATAGAATGTAAGTGTCCTCTGTTAGGAAAGGTGCCTGATCAGGAGATGATGAAAAGACAACACTGGCAAATATTCAGTATTTTCTACATTATTTTCTGGCTTTGACTCATGTTCTATCCAATCATGCTGTTTAAACAAACTCCATGCCATGCTGACACACAAAACAGAAACCACAGAAATAAAATGCACGTCATAAACAGATTGTAAGCATACATTTGAAATGGTTTGAGAAGGCCGCAATATTAAAACCACCTACCTAATATCGTGTAGATTGTACATCTGAATCAGCTCCAGACTCCACAGACAGACCCCTGAAAGGTATCCGACACCAAGATGTCAGCAGCAGGTCCTTCAAGTTCTGGAAGCAGCGAGGTGGGACCTCCACAGATTTGGTGAAAGAGGCCACTGCCACCTGGGGATGTCATGATGGGATGTGTGTGATCTGGGTTATAGCAACATCCACATGAAAACAGGAGAAATCAGAGCATCACACTGGCTCACCTTCCTCCTATAGTGCATCCTGCTGCCATCTCAGGTAAGCCAGCTGTCTATTAAAGCCAAAAGGAGCATACATTGTGTAAAATGTTGCTCATTTGCTGCTGCCCTGAGACACCAAGTTGTTCTCTGATGTTTGGCTTCTGTTTATGCTCCACACATCACTGAACTCACCAACACTGCCAATGTTCGATTAAGTTCTATTATGTTTCTCAAATGAATAATTGTGCAACTGGCTTTTTTTGTGTGTGTGTCTCACTTATCTGTCATGGCACAGGAATACAAACTGTCAGGAAATCACTTTTTATTATCCTGCAATGTCACAAACAGCAGTCACACATCGCTTTAGTCTGACTTTGCTCTTCACTGATTGTTACACAGACGTTAAACTTACTCGCGAGCAGAGGAAAGAGCTCATTACCCTCCAGGAAAACAGTAAAAAGCAGCATTTTAAGTAGTTGTGATGGTGCAAACATTTTACTTTAAGCCACTAAAGTGTCACAGAAAGCAGCATTTTTCCCCCCCTAAGTATTGATGGTGACAGAAGCAACATTTAAGATGTGAGGAAAAACAACAAAAGATTCATCAGACCTGGCCACAGCAAAGTAGTGCTACAGTCCATCGGTGGGTCTCCTGGTTCCCCAGTTGGAACACTTTTGGGCGACACTGACCTCTCCATACACGGAACCGCATCGTCTTTCTATTTTCTCCTTGTCAAAGTCTCTCTGAACTGCATTTTTCCTGCTTCCAGCACAAGAACCGATTGATCACATGCAGACTGGGACATCCCACCTCTGGACAGGTGCTGCTGGAACGACATAATCAACGCTACTCACCTCAGCTGTCGGTGATTTTGTGGCTGATCAGTGTAAATACAGCACTGAATGACACTACTGAGGCTTTTACTTACTTCAATCTTTTTCCTGTTTACAGCTGCAGCTACTTTTCAGATTAAGATTTTACATCGAAATCATATGACCAGTCATTACTTTTACCTAATGAGATTCTTCCATTGCTTGTCTGTCTGTAAATCAAACATCTCCTGACTAGTCAACAATAAGTGGTTGTCACATGATCTATAAATGCTCAGTCTAGAAAAAATCAATTTTCTCTTCCCCACTTTAATACGATTAAAGCCCAACTAAAGTCACTCTGATGTTTGGATGACAACAATTAAACCACATGTCCAATCACTGAAATAGAAAGAACGACACACACACAAACATGTTTAAATATATAGATTTTATATACATATATTCATGTGGATGACTAGAAAAGAAAACACTATATTCTTACAAAGGAATGATTCTGCACAGTCATGTTCCTAAGTTAAATAGTAATTTGATACAAAATTACTATAATAAATAAAACTCATCTCGTTGTTTCTTTATTCACACATAGCAAGTTGTACAAACAATAAATTACAAGTTCAGTGCTGTGTTTCTGTCGTCGGTCTCCCCACGGGAAGAATCAGAGTAGGTTGTGTGTGTTTGTGTGTGTCTGTGGAGTGTGTGTGTGTCGGAAATACTCATAAAACTGCGTAGATGATGGATCGTTATGTGTACATTTCTGTTTAAATATGGTTGAGTACTACATATATGAGAGATCTATTTGTCGTACAAACATGTCTACATTGTGTAAATAAATCTGGATGTGTGAGGGGGAGAAGAGAGAACTTTCTGAATTTGCTGACCGGGTTGCGTCGTGTCTGAAAAGATTTCTCAGGCTTTGTTTTCTCCTGCACGGGTGACAGATGGGTGAGGTTTGCCACACAGGAAAACATAATGGGTGCCAGGTATTTTAACACAAATGCAGGAAGGTGTTCCACTGGTCCAGTGGTTATGAAATTAAGTTTACATTGTAACACCGGGGCTTAATTACCATCCATGAGAGAGGGGGTAATAGCTTATGTTTTTACTCAAATATGAACGGACACAAAAAGAAGCCTCATCTTGATGCAAATGCGCATTACTGACACTCTTAATGCAGCTTTGATTCGATTAAAAGTGATAAATCCGTTACGTGATGAAGCTGGGATGATTTTTAAAGGATTAGTCCACCCAAACTTTCATATTTTCTCAGCTTCACATAGTTCAATTTTCAATTTAATATATTTTTTTTGCTGTCGTGCTGAGAGCTAGCTGAGAAGATTGACACCACACTCAAGTATACTCTGCAGCAGGCAGCCTATTAGCTTAGCTTAGCATTAATACAGGACTCAAGGGCAAACTAAGTCAATTTTTACCTTTTGATTTCTGTGATAAGTAAATAAACAAGACTTTCAATTGTTGTACAGAGCCGTATGCTAATCTTATCTGACTGTATCCAGCTCTAACATTACATTTAACGGACAGAAACAAGAGCGATGTTAATCTTAAATACATTATATTATGACACTGGGTGGAGGACCTAGTTCACCGAAGCTACATAAAGCATTTGTGGAAATGCACTTATCTGCTTTCTTGCCAAGAGTTAGTTGAGAAGTTTGATACCACACTCATATATGGAGCCAACAGCCAGTTAGCTTAGCTTAGCATCAAGATGGGAAACATGACCTCTAGCTTTAAGTAAGACTTTTTTTTTTTCATCTTTGGACAGATCCAAGCTAACCTTATATTAATTCATTGAGCTGAGTTCTGGCTTTAACATTATATTTAACGGAAAGACACCAGAGATGGATGGCTTTAAAAGATCAGTTCACCCAATTACAGAAAAGCACATTTTCTCACCTTCACATAGTTCAACATTCAGGGAAATGCACTTTAAGATGGTAAACAGCAGCAAATTGGGGTCAATTTTCACACTCTGACTTTTGCAAAAAGCAAATAAACATGACATCATGTATTAATTAGTAAACTTGCCAATGCCTGAATTCATATTTGCATATTTTGGAGCGAGCCAAGTTAGCTTTAGGCTAATCGTACTGAGCTGTATCCTGGCTTCTAACCGACAGACACGAGAGCTGTATCGATGTTCTCATCTAACTGTCCCGCGTTCCAAAACATGTTCAGTCTTTTCTTTAATTAAGCAGCAACAGCACTTCCAACAAGTGTTCCTCAGCTGTCATAGAGCCTGTTGCTATGACAGAAAGTAGTTCTAATAAAGTTGCTGACAGTGGGGCGACCTGACAGCTGAGGGGTCAGGGGTCATACCAGAGAGGATACAAATGCGCTGAGCGGTGAGTCTCTGGTTCGATTCCCTGCTGGGGCTCATCTGCGACATGCCATTCCCCTCCTATCTTTACCCACATTTTATGTCTCTCTCTGCTGTCACTATAACACAAAGGCATAAAAATGGCCAAAAATTGTGGATAAAAATTGATAAAGAGCAGTCAGGCCTGCAAATTGCCAAAAAATAACTCTAGCAATCTTTGTAGAGTTACAGGTTTTTGTTGAAATATTTAAAAGTAATATTGAGTGTATTTGTTGTAATCCTCTTGGGGTGGATGCTTAAACTTATAACTTGGGAAAAAATACAAAATATTTTCACTAAAGTTAAGTAAAAAGTTGTTTTTTCGTGGGCTTGCTGACCTTTACTTGTCCCCACTAGATGTAACATTACCACCTTGCCCTCATGTTTTTGTGGCAAACTCAGAAGTTTTGTACCGTGGCCAACTCCACCCATCAGCGCTAAAAAAAAACAAAAACAAACGCAGGATGTGAAATGAGCAAAAGAACATTGGATGAAAAGACCGAAGAGAGAGTTGAATTGCAAAAGGACAGTAATGACTGCATTAGTATCTCTCTTGCCGTCGTTGCGAGTATCCAGGGCACACATTGTCAAATTAGCATCATTTCCTAAACAGATAAACAGACAAACAGATATTAACCAACACAAAAAAAACAACAGTCCTCCCAGCACCAGCATAATGATTGATACAAGTGGAACTGAGAGTGAGAAATTTCAAGACGCAGTAGAGAACAAAAAAACAACATCCAAACACATGTTCACGGTACATACTGTACGTGCGTAAAACACAGGCCTGGGTACATGAAGACACACTTACACAGGCATCAAAATCAAGCATCGCCCCGAACCTGTGAGTCATCATTTACCTCCATAAACGTTAAGGAGTGTCATGGTTGCTTTGCAGCTTTGTCGGTTTCTTTCCAACGACACCATGCTGCTGTTTCTGCACTGTACAGGTGATTATCAGATTCAGTAGAAGGGATACTTGGGGTAAAAACGACCTGTTTTAGAGAGGAGCAAGAACACCCGGTCGCTTAGAGACTTACTGCACCCTTGGTATGATTGATACGCTCCTTAGCTTTGTTTAGGTGAAATGCATCATCCAGTAAAAAACAAAGTCTGGGTTTCCCCATTCGTTCTTGGTCGTCAAGTCAATCAGAATCGTATTTATAGGTGTTTTTTGGAGGGATGTTCTCAACCCTGATCCAGAGCCGTCGTACATATGTGCATCCTCTGTAACTTGAACATTTCTCAACAAGAAACGGTCTGCACTTATTTAGCACTTTTATTAACTTGGCAAAGTGTTTCACAATCTGTTTCTCATCCACCTATTTAAACACCGATGGTGACAAAGGTGCCATGTAAGGTGTCTTTCCTATGGACGCCTCAGCATGTGGACAGGAGAGGACAGAGATCGAACCGCCAACCCTGAGCCACAGTCGCACCAGGTAGAACAGGGAGAACACTGATAAGCATTGGGAATGAAGATCACCGTTGATTGGAATCTAACGGGAGAGATCCTTGGTCAGCAACATCTTTCCAAGTATTTTTATGGGCTACTCAGTGACTGAAACATTAAAGCTACAGGAGATGGCCATCCAGGATCCTGACATGTTGTATGATGGCTGTGGATCGGGGGAACCTCAAGGGCAGAAACTATGGCGAGACGAAAAACGAGTGCTTCCCGTGGTTGGGGCTCTTGTCTTGGACACACTCATGACAAAAGAGGTGTGACTTCCAAATTCCCACAGTGATTAGAACACAAGGAAGCATAAAAAAGACACAACACGCATGCCGTTACAGGGCAACACACACTAAGCCTCCAGAGTTTGGAGGCTGAAGTAAAGACAATCAGTTATTGTCCATGTGGAAATGACATGCAACTTAAGTCTTTAGCTATGCCAGGGCGATACTCTTTACTATCATACTGAAACTGTCCTCCGTTCTAGTTGTGCTCTGCATAGCTACGATGATTCCAGGTCCTTCCTCTGGCATATAGTCGGGTACATCCACGCCAACCTGTCTCTGAGTCTCTTTATGTCTGGTCCCGTCGCTCTCCGTCAACATTCACAGTCCTGTTTAAGCTTCTACGTCTTATTAGTTCATAGTCCTACATCCATCCAGCACTTGAGACCTTTATGAGATGTACAGATTACAACTTGTTCCTACAAATTGTTTTAAAATTCACTCCCTCTCCTGCCGCCTCAACATTTCTTCACCAGACAGTGTTTGAAGGCTGAGGGTCGGGCGCCCAGTACGCAGCCTTTCGACAGTTTTCCATCCTGGTCCTTGCACTGCACTGTCCGGCTCTGCCAACCAGTGTCACAAGTCCTGGAGCAGGTCATCCAGGTCCCCGTTACCCACTGCGGCCCTGGGGTTGGGGTTGAAGGACCTGGAGCTGTAGGTGGCCCCGGGGCCACAACAGGAGGAGCGGAGGAAGTCGTAGTGGTGCTACTGGTGGTGGTGGTTCTCGTCGTGGTTGAAGCTGTTGTAGTGCTCTGCAAGGGCGTCGACTTTGGGATGAGCGGAGCTGCCGGCTGCTGCGGTGCTGTCCATCGGGGCATGAAGAAACTATAGCGAACATCTAGGGGCTTTTTGGCGTCAGTAGCTAAAATCTGGATGACCAACGGTTCCAGGAGAGCCCCGGGGCCCATGCTGTGGAGCCACTCGTCCCTTTGGCTCCAGCCGCTGTAGTTGAGCACAGAACCGTTGAGGGGGATGATTGTCTCGGAGGTGGAGATCATGAACTTGCCGTTGAGGAGGTATTCGCCGTTGGGCCGCCGGAGGGCCAGGTAGGCGGTGTAGCGGGTCTGGTCCTTGGCCTTGTGCTGACGGACCTTGATGTGAGTGGAGCCTGCAGGGATCTTCACTACGTCAGTGTAGCCCTTACTATTCAGCAGGAGAGAGAGCAGAGGAGGGGTCAGATCAGGGCATGATGCTCTGGTCATTGCTGGTTTTATATTGAAGTAGATGTCAGCCTTTGCCCTCTGAACCCCGCTGTTTACTGTTTATATTGTCTTTTATCTTTTTAAAAACACACACACAAAAAATGACTTATTTGGGCCAGAAACTGTAAAAACAGAAAGAATTGTTTGAAGTTTAATTTTCTGACAGGATCTAAACTAATCAAATGTGACACACTGCTCCGTTGGAAGGCTTTGCTAAATCTTATTGCCCCAAAATACATCATTTGCAGTCGTGAGATCCTGTAAAAAACTGAAAATTCTGTGTTTCTTAGTGCAACCATGAAGCTGCAACTCTCAGCCATGTGACAAGAATTCAAGGACTTTGAGCAGACAAAGGATGTATTTAGTACATTTGCATATTTGTATATATTGTATGTTTTGTTTCACCAGTAATGGTAACACTTGTGGGCACTTGAGTGAGAAAAAAAATCATTGAAAAATGGTGAACACCTTGATTCTATTGCTTTTTGTATAATAAATTCTGAAAGAAATGCAACCTTGGTTTCTTCTTTTTTCAAAACGATTTCTGGCATTACAACTTTGTCATTCTGCACAACAAACATTCTACTTGTAGCCATGGCTGTGCTGTTTCCATCGAGGTGCAGGACTTTATATTACAGTGAAAAATGAGTCTACAGTGAGTAAAAATGAGATGGAAGGGTTAATCAATACAACCGATTCAGCGAATTAAAAAAAGAGATGAACTCTGTTTGTTTGACTGCAGCACCACCTGTTAGCAAATTAGCAATAAATTTAGTTAATTAGTGAAAAAAAACACAAAGGAATCTAAAGTGCAGTGCTGAACAGATGAACTCCACGTTTAACCATCCTGGAAAAGAACGCGCCGACACATTCCTCTCTACAACATGAATAAAGCTGAAGCTGTTGGCTGATTTTTAAAAAGACTTATGGTGGATTACTACAACTATAAATCTGAAGTTAAGAGCCTGGTAATCAGATTGAACGGCTGTCACTTGATTCTCTTTTAAAGCCCTTCAGAAAATCAACAGTCTGGGCAGGGATTCAGAACTCTGGAGCTGAGTATTGAGCTTGTTACTCAAGTGATGAAGCAGAGGCACCGGGAACAAAAAACTCAATATGTAAACAAACCTGAGGCAACATGGCTTCCATTTGAATCATTTAAGGCAACATACATATTCATTCTGGAGTGGAGAAGTCCTATGTACACAACATGAAGAGGAGACGCGATATCTGTACATCTTGTGAGACTGAAGGCTGCCTTATGGGGGGAACCATTGGATCTTCTTACTCTGCTGACATGTTGTGATCACAGCATGAAGATTTCAAGTGTGTAAACTTACCAAACTTTAACTCCCTTCTCATGCAACCATGTATAAAGGTGAGTATCTGTTTTTTTTTTACCTCTTCTTGGTGAAGTTTCCCACCACACGTATACACCCCGTGCTGTCGCCTCCACATATCCCGCACTTGTCAAACTGGAGCTTGGAGCCGATGATGCCGTCACAACCCGTCCTCACGCATCTGCCTTTCACGCACACCGAGCTGCTGTAAGGACGACACTCGGTCCCATCCACCACCTGAACGCAAAGACATCGCCGTCATCTTCCTTTTCCTTTCTTAAATCTGCTGCACCTTTGCTGTGTGGCTAACTCACCCTCTGGGAGAACACCACGTAGTATCCCGTTCCTTTCGCCCTGCAGGTTAACTTGCACACGTCTTTCGGGAGAACTCCAGCGTACTTCGGCACCCATTCGACGAAAGTCTTCACCCCTTTGGGATCTGTCTGGGGACCGTTGCGCACTTCGCACTGCTCCTGGCGGAAACTCTTGCCTAGAAGGTTAAAAAAAAGGAAGGTTTGAAATGCATTTTGTTGGATAAGTTAGCTATTGTGGATTCTCAGCTGTCACACTCACTCGACGCCGGGCATGGAGTGACGTTGCAGGACCGGTAGATGGCTCTCTTCCCCGTGCAGTAGCGCCCGTTGTTCCTCGGCGGCGGGTTGTTGCACAGACGCTGGGCAAACTGCACCCCACCTCCGCAAGTCCTCGAGCACGAACCCCAAGGACCCCAAGAGCTCCAGCTGCCGTGGTTGGACGCCTGGGAGAAGGGAGTCGAAGAGAAGATGAAATAGGACGTGAGGGTCGGGAGAAATGACAGCAGAGGAGACATCAGAGGGGAGGAAGAGAAAAGGACAGACAATTATCAAACAAGTCGGAGCGGCTTCCGTCGAAGCCACGTGTCGCAGAAAAAAAAAAAACCTTCGGAGAGACATCCGTGATGAGGAAAAACGTGGCAGTCGGACAGAAAAAGAAGCAGACGATTGTCATGTGATAATAGCTGGAGAGTCACTAGTTTGACCAGAATAGCGAGATCTGTGGAGGAACAGCTCACATGCTTCCCCCCCGAGGAGCCGCCTGAATGAAATTCTTCAGGTACCTTATTTTTATGTTTTTCCAACCACTAGTATATGAGTCATCAGCGATAAAAATGACCGAACATTTTATGAGACAAAGTTGATTTTGTAATCCGTTGGAAACAGCTTTTCCATCTTAGTTCCACTGCTGAGCCTTTATATTACTCAAACTGCTTCTTTCCACAGTAAAAGCTACTTAATCTGCAATCATACTGCAAGAAATATGAAGAGGTTAAAGGATTCTGAAGGCTAAAATGGAGGAGGAGGGGTTTAAGGTTGCTGTGAGCAGTAAACCGGTCGTCATACAAGGCAGTGAAAACGAAGCGAGTCAGAATTTGGGCCGGATCCACGCACTCAGACGTCTGCCAAGAATCGAGTCAGGCTCATCAAACGTCATGTGACAAATAAACACAAAGAAAATATTCTTCCCCTCTCTCCTGCTCGCTCTCTTTCTGACTTTCCCTCTCTTTTTCCTCCCCTGATACACACACAGCGTCGACAGCCTGCCAAGAACAGATTTGGTCCTTTAACTCATTAAGGCCAAATTCGATTTAGATCCGTTTGAGTAAGGCCGAGAGAACAAATAGCGCAGATCAGCGGTGGCATTAAAAAGCCCGACCACACAATGAAATCACATAAGGATTCTGACATCTTCTCCCTCTTTAAGTGTCTCGCTTTCCATTTCATCTTCGCTCTTAATAGCACCCCGGTGTGCTGTATGTTAAGTTTATTCTCTTGGTCTCAAGTTGGGTGCCTAAAATATCAGTTTTTGAACTATAAAAAGAAGTCTATTTTGGTTTTTCGTCCCTTTTTGTCTCTCTTGACAAACACCTTCTGTCTCCATGTCCCTGATACCATCCATCCATCCCCTCCTTACCGAGTAGTGCTTCTTGCGGGTCTTGTCCACGCACTTTCCCTGCAGGCAGATGCGTCCTTTCCCGCAGGGCGTTCCCTCCACCGCCGGCAGCTTCTTGGTAAGGCACACCATCTGTCCCTGGCGGATCACGGCGCACCACAGCCGGGAACACACGTCCATGCCCGGGCAGACCGTGTACTCCGGTCCGAAGGCCAGGCGACACTGGCGGACGGCGTCGTAGCTCTGCCCCGGGAGCTCCTCGGGGCCGAGAAGGGGCTGACGTGGAGAGTCCAGAAGACACTCGGCTGTGGAGGAGAAAGAAGGATCGTTGGTGGTTTATTACTTGAGGCCTGTTTCGCTCAATAAGTGCTGGAGCAGCAGCAGATACTGTCAAACCTGAAATGATGCTGCTGGTACATGAATTACGCCGAAAGCCATGGAACCGCTGAGCGAATTGTCAACAACAGTGCTTTATAGCCGTCATGAATGAAACGGCTTGATGGAGCTGGAATGCCAAGTATGACTCATCTTGAATTTTTGGCTGCATCGCATCTACACTCTTTAAAGAAGTTAACAGGATTGTAAATAACTCCTTATTAACAGAGATTATAGCGTTGCTCGGTAGTAAACAGCTCCCAGTGAAAGGTGTCGCCGCGAAAATTCACATGGATGCAATTTGGAGATAGAGAAAGTAAAACTTCTGCAGCCTGGGAAAAGTTCTCGCTCATTAGGAAATTACAGATGTTTTCTAAACCGCAAGCGTTTACTGCTCGGCGTTTTTCTCCCACGCTCACCGTTGCCGTCGTCGAAGAAGTCGGTGATGGTTGCCGAGGTGCAGCGGCTCCAGGGTTTGGAGGCGTCGATGGAGGTGAGGATGGACGACATGAGCCGCTTGTCGCTGTTCACCCCGAAGCGCTCCTCGCAGAACTTGGAGTCGTCGTGGGACAAACCGAGCAGGTGACCTGGACACAGCGAGGGAAAGGATGATGCACTTATGTGAGCGATGACAGGACTTGTCTTGGATAGGTACGTGCAGCAAGAATGAGAAAAGAAAACATACTCAGAGTGCTCAGGTTATCAGGTGCATGACATCAGACAATGCTCATGTGATATTAATCAACAAGAGGCTGACAGATGTGCACGTGCATGCCCGGGCTTGTTCATATCCTCATGCTGTATGGGTATCCATGCCTACCTATCTCGTGCGCGACGGTAAACGCAGCGTGAAGCCCGTCGTCCTCGATCACAGCACAGCTTCTCTCCGGAGAGCAGATGGTGCCGACGTCCGCCATGCCCAGGGTGTCGCAGGAGTGGTGGCCACAGAGGTCCTGGACAGAGGAAACACTGCACGTTTAAATCTGCACCCAACAGTTGATAGAAGATGCTGCAGCGAGACAGGAACTGGCAAGAGAGATCTTATTTCTCCCATATAAGCTTTTTATCATTGGCTCCCAACAAAACAAGAATTTCAAGATTTAAAACCCTTCACATTTCAAGGACCTCATTGTATAATATGATCCCAACCAGCTCCCAGTTTGGGTTCAGGATCAGGCACCATCTCTACCTTTAAGATTGGGCTTCAGACTTTCCTTTTTGATATAGTCAGAGCTGCTCATGTGACCCTGAACCATCAGTTTGCGATTCTGCTAAATGGCTAGACTTCTAGCAGGCTTCCCATGATGCACTAACCACCTCTTTTCTTTATCTTTCTTCATGCCACAATTAACAGTGTGGCTCCTCTCTCCTGTAGTTTGTGTTTTGTCCTCTCTGCAGGTAACTCTGACTGTATCTCAGAGCCGCATGTTCCTGAACTGTGATTACTGGCATCATCAACCTCCCCACTGCTTCTTGCTCTCTCATGCGTTAATTGAAAGTTTCCCTCTGCTATCCTCTTCTCCCTGTTCGCCTCGACCGGTTTGACCAGTCGAGGAAGAAGTCCGTCCTCCTGGAACCTGGTTCTGCAGGAAGTTACGTCCTATTAATGTTTTTTTCTTCTTTTTCTTTTTTCATTCCACATTTACCAAAAGTGTCCTGCAATGACTCATTCTGCGAATTGGTGTGAAATAAAAAAAGAAGAAAAAAATGCATTGAACTAACCCAAAAAAAATGTTTCAAAAACAGTGACTAAATGCTCCATTTCCAGATGGGTTATCAGATAATCTTTAAGGCCTGATAAGACTTTGTGAGTTGCTGCTATCACATTGCTGTTCTCGTCTGTAGGAGTTTGCTTCGAGGACCGTGGTTCATAAATGCACAGAAGATCGTATCTACATGCACGCCACTGCTGAGCACGTGCACTACTTCCTTTGTGGTGTAGTATTGACAAGACACAAACACGGGCCTGCATTGGATGCTCAAGCCGGATGAGCAGATGAACCGTGTGTTATAAACACAAGGGCAACTGTTTAAAAACGACTATTTTAAAGTGTCAAATGTTCCCTGAAGACATTCCAACAAACTGCAGTCATTCATCATCTCGCTCCTTCAACATTCTGCTTTCTGTGATCATCAATTCCTTCACATCCTTCCCTACCAAATATACTTCTTCATCTAAAGCTGTTGCCATGTTTTCAGCTGTTTCCATCCATTTAACGCCATGCACCGACTGATCCACTGTCCCCCCAATGAAGCTCTGCCTGTCACAGTCCTTTTATTCTGAGTGCCATCGGGCGGCGATGCAGCTGAAGCGCTTCTGATTTAATACCCGCTTCCTTTTCCTGCCTCCACCATCTCCCCGTCTGCCTCGCGGGATGCCAGATGCACAGTATCGATCTTTGTTTTAATTCCCACACATGTCCATGCAGATGAGGCCTCGGGCTGCGCCGGCCCCCGGCCCCGCTGAGGCCACCGATCAATCAGCTGATCACACATCACGTGCACGTGCCTACACACACACACGGGAGGATGCACATACAGCCGGCAGACATCCATGCATGTGCACATGAGAACGCGTCCCGTGGAGGGGATGAATCGTCATGTTAAGTGGTGCTGACAGGCCTGCTGGGTCGTGTGTGAGAGGCTCTGTGGGGAGGGTGTTTACCCGTTCCGGCCCGATCGCTTTGGAACAAACTGCCTTGTGTTCTGCGCTCACACACATGACTGACTGGGTGGGACGAGCTCGCACACACAAACACACAGATAGCTATAAGAATTTCAAGCAGAAGCAACACTCATACAGCGATAATAGGCTGAATTCTGGATACATGGGAAGCAAACAAAAGGCCGATTCTGACTCTTGTCTGTGTGCAGACGAGCTCGAAAACTATACAGGGAAGTCTGTTTATTTTGATCGTATAGAGAAGTTTGCCTTCGTATTCGGTCTGTTTCTCTTTTCTCGTTTCCCACTGCTCCTCGCACCGCTCGCCATTTCATTTATTTATTCATTCATCCCCTCCCAGGCTCTTGTATATGGGAGCTGTTTTCGTTCCGCTCTTTCTTGTATACACGGCTTTCACTGGTACAACACAGCGCTAAAGAAAACATGTGGGCAAGAAAAAAGGAAAAAAAAGAAAAAGGGAATCTCCTGCTACATTTTAATAGTGACGTACACATGAAATAACCCCCAAAACTCACATCTATTTACTCTGCAAAGTCTCTTCCTGGACTTGCTTTCATCCGAAGGCCTCCACAGACAAGCAAAGAAAAAAAAAAGAAGAGAAAGAGGGAGGGAGGGAGGGAAAGAAAAATAAGTTCAGGAATCAGACGCTGGCGGGGGGAAAAGGATGGAGGATTGCCGGAAATTAAGGAGAAGAACTGAGAGAACAAGGAGTTACAGTAATATTGGCAGAAATAACAGGAGAACAGGTGGCGAGCTGGTTGCAGAGGTCAGGAGACGATCAGAGCTGCGCTTATGTGTGTGTGAGGTACAAGACCACTTGCAATCTAAGCCAAGGCTGGTGTTAAACAAACAGCCGGCCAGACTCAGACACACACACACATGCACACACACTCCCTCTCGGAGAGTTCGGCTTTAGAAAAACCAACTGCAGCTGATTCCAGCAAACCAAATAGAAAGCACCGCCTGCACAGCTCGCTAATGACCGTCCACCGGTGACTGACAGATCGGCAAACGATGAGCGACGACACATATTTCTCCAAAGGTAAACAAAAGCAGCTGCTCGAGTCGTTTCTTTAGTCAGTTTGATATGTTACCTGAGATACGGGAATAAAGGCTCAGAAGGCAATTTGCAAGCTCTACAGATGGAAATGTCAATCATCCGTCCACCACTTTGAGCTCAGAGCTGCAATAATCAATCGATTAGTTGTCAACTATTAAACGAAGTACTGACTATTCTAATAGTTGATAATTCGTTTTAGTATTTCTATTGAAGAAATAGTAAGAATTCTTTCTAAATATGAATAATTTCTGGTTATTTGTTCTGGTATTTGTTCCTCTGAGGTCCCAGTATTGAACCCTGAGGAACACCGCATTTAATCTAATAACAGGAGGTTGCAACATTACAACACTTCTGCTGCTCACATATGAGCAAAACCAGTAAAGTGCCACCTCTGTGAGACCAATAAAGTTCTCAATGTTGTAACTCATGCGTTCAGCGTTGGCACAGATCTGGCAACAGCAAGACAGATGGGAGCTCAGACTCCTTTAAGTGCATTTTCAAAGCAGAAATTACTCAGCACTTAACACTAAAAATAAATCTATCGCTAGATCAGTTGCATAAATTCTGTTATTTTTTCTTTGCATGGGCACCCAAACCAGCTCAAAGGAAACTTCAGGCCGTGATTGCAAACAGGAGAGCGCTTTAAAGTCACTGATGCATCGTGGTGCGAAGAGGGCGAGGCTCATGTGTTGTTGCAGGGCAGCCTGAACTCTCGACCGGCCCGGGGGTCGAGAGTTTGGGATCCAGGAGCTGTCTGCAGGTTGTCAACATATGCCAGACGAAGTATGGCACGTGTGAAATATCAAGGACATTTAAAACAAACAGAGGGACGAGCCGGGATGGAGGCGAGGGCTGGGAAATGTACACTTCACCGTGGAGCCCCAGTGAAAAGGAGGTGAGGAAGAGGTGCAGAGGAGAGGAAGGAGTCCAAAGTAGGTACACACTGGAGGAGGATACATGACATAACTATGAGGGGCAACTGATAACACATATTAATCCATAGCTAGTAAGATATTTATTGTATTTTCTCCTGGTATATCCATTTCTGTGACACTGTGCATGAACTTGCATCTCGTAAATGTGTTGGTATCCGTGCTCCAAAACCAATTTGGGATGAAGCTCTTATATTGAATTCACCTACAATCCCTTCTGTGCTTTTTTTCTCTTTTTTATCCCAGACTAAAAACTCATATTTTTAAGAAAATCTCCCTTTATTTCCAGCAATTCCAACTTAATCCTCTTTGCTATTCTGCTGCTGTTGGAGACTCTCTGCTGTGTGTGATTTTAACCCGCTCGGTAAACGCGTATGAAGGACTTGAACTTCACCTGCATTGTTCCACATAAGTGAAATCATCATGACCCGAACTCAACCTGAGTTGAAAAGGTCAGCGCTTCAACATCGCTGGCGTCACATGTACTTGTTAGCAACGTCTGTCCAAATATTAGAAGCAAATGAAAAAAAAAAAAAAAAAAAAGAAATAGCAGCATGAACACTCACACATATGTCAGCATCTCCACAGCTCTGGAACCCTATAGTGGGGCTTTGTCCGCTGCCACAACAACACAGCCATGCATAGCGTTTAATGTTCCCCATACTCAGAAAAAGTCCCCTCAATGTAGCTGTTGTTTTGTTCCGGTGCTGGTATGTGTGGAACTGGGTGACACCGCCGCACGGGTCAGCTCACCGCGGGTACGGGGGGTTGGAGTAATTGGACCCGACCACAAAGAACCCCTCCAACCCTGTGCACTCCTGCAGTCCCTTCTAGGAACAATGCACTGGTCTGACTCCACGGTTTGCTGCAGCAGAGAGACGAGTCATTTTAATATGTAAACTCCTGTCGGCTTATTTGACACCTCTGTCATCCAGCGCAGTGGAACATTAGGCTTCTCGCAACACATCTGAACTGAGTTTACACCACGTCCAAGTTTCTCAGTTAAATTCCATTTATTTTCCTGAGAAAATAGTTCCCACATTCCTTCTGCTGTAAATCCCACTTTTTTTTCTTCTTCTTTTTAAACTCAAAATGCAGCAATGTATGAAACACCTGAGCCAAATTGAGTTATTTCCTGGCTGGCATTCTGTCAGTGGAAACTCTAATGGCCGTATTTTGTTTCTAAAATGACTAATTTTGTTCTTAACATCTTCTGAGGATGTTTTCTGACAGCCGCTCTTACTTAATGATTAATAGGAAAACGCAAGCGTGGAGATAAATTGACATCTTTTTAAGATCTTGGAATTTTTTTCTTCTTCCTCTGCAGCAGTGTGACACAAAATTGTAAAAAAAAAACAACAGTTTTCCCACACAGTTGTTCGCTTTTCCTCAGATTCCTGATAATGGCCTTTAACATCCAAAGAGTTCAGAGGTCAAAGTGAAAGGTGGCGGCTGCCCTTAAGCTCACGACCCCAAAGCCAGGCCTTGCTGTGCTCTTATTCTGCATCCTAACCTGGTTTAAGCTCATCCGTCCTGCAAAAAATGCAACACACAGGACTCCAAAGCCCACCTTGTCGTGTTTCCCAGAGGGCTGTACTGTGTTACAGGGGCCATGGCAGATGATTATACCCTCCGGTGACAGGTTAAATCTACAGTTTGACCTGCAGGTTCAGCAGTGAAGGTGAGACGAGTGTGAAAGAAGGTCCAGAGGCAGGGTGATGAATAATGCAGGCGCTGCGACAGGTGAGACACAAAACGTGCTGACGGATGTTGTTAAGGTGAAAATTGGCTATTTATAAAACACGCTTGTTCTCTGGTGAGATTTTCACCACAGGCTGCATCACTTCAGTCTCAAACTGTGCGACACTTTTAGTGGCACTCTGGACTGTTGGAGAATAAAAGGGTTGACAAGCCAGTGGAAAGGTGTTCAGACTGGATCGGTATGTTAATAAGATCAAAGTCCCACTGCAACAGTGAGGAATCACAGTTGGCTGCCTGCTGTGTGTCATAAAAGCTCCCTGAGGCCACCTTCCTATCTGGATTACTGTTTCCATACCCGCCTGACCCTGCTCCCCCTGCCAAACCCAACCACCCGAGGATGCCACTTCCTCCCGCCTGGGATCTCTCAGTCACGCCTGCTGCAGGTGTAGCGGCACAAGGGTTACCGAGGAGCCACGAGCTGGTTGGCACACACAAACTGTGCCACTTTGCCAGCGTGCTGACCTCAGGTATGCGCTACCTCCTGCCCTGCCAATGCATGACGGTGCCAACTATGCACAAGTGCAGGGGATCCTTGGTAATACCACTGGTGCGTGTGTGCATTTTTTTTTTCTTTTAACCCCCAGCCATGACAAGACCTTGCATGACTTGAACCCACCGCAATCCAAGGTAAAGCTATCTGACACGTCAAGTGGAGCTAACCACCATAAAGCCACACCCGGAGAGGTGAAAAATGCACGCAGATCTGCTGCTGCTGCCCTGCGGCTTTGGACCAGGCAGTTAGGGAAGAAGGAGGGGAGAGAAAGGGATGGTGAAAGAAGGGATAGACGAGTGTGGTCTCAGTAAACGTACAGCTTCTCACAGGGTGGATGTGTTTGTTTTTCTGACAGCTCCCAGCCCCAGCTGACAGACACTGGAAAAGTAACTGGGAAAAAATGTGCACACTGGAGTGATGAGAGGGAGATGGAGAGAAGGGGGGTGGAAGTGCAAGACTGGGATGACTATCAAATTAAATGTTGTTTAAGGGGAGTTTGGGGGATATTTCTGCAATGCACCCAGCAGCTGATTTTGAACCTCCTACAATGGGAAGAATGTGCGTGCACGGCCACAGGCACGCGCCTCTGATCACACAAGGCATTTGGACTGTCAGGGGACTGGGAGGAGGGAGGCTGGAGACAGAAGTGCCTGCCTAGAAAAACACCAGGCGCAGGAAATACAGTTTTTATGGCTGTTTCAGCGACGCTGCGCTGCATTACGCACGCAAGATTCAGCAAAAAGAAGATGTGAGACAAACACGAAGAGGAGAAAAGGAAACACTGGAGGGGTGAGACATGTGGGAAGCAGCTTGAGCAGTTTGACTTGGGTCACATTTAGCAGAAATAACCGGCTCAAAGGGAAATAACGCGCAACGATACTGATGTTAAATATTTAAAATACACGTGGTTTTGCGCAGAGAGCCACCCAAGTCGCACGATGTCAAGTTTTTAGTCACAGTCAAGCAGCTGCACCCACAAAATCTAAACAAACTGTGGCGTCACTCCGCTGCTTTTGGCATCACACCGGGGCGCTAAGCCGCCTCTCGTCCCCTGCGTGGGAAGACAGGCGAAGCCGGCGCCTCAGTGCGCGCACAGGTGGAGACGCGTAAAGCAGGAAGTCTGTTTACCTGCCTGGTGAAGAGGATGGCGGCATCGTGGTGGTGCTGGTGGTCATCGTCCAGCGGGTTCTGCTGGTTCTGCCACTTGCAGAAGCTCTTGAGCGTCGCTGCCGCGTTCTTGGACACCTCCAGCCCCTTCTCCTTCTCACCGACCGTGGTCACTTTCACCACCGACAGCCGGATCGGGTTCTCAATGCTGGCGTGCCCGTACAGCTTGGAGGCGATGGAGGCCAGTGTGAGCAAGTAGTGGTTCAAGTCTTTGCCGTATTTCTTGATCATAGTGTCATCAGCCACCAGGAGCAGCTCCACGTGCCTGGCGCGTGAGACCGACCTCTTGCGCCGCGCGCCAGGCTCCGGAGCGGCTGCTTTGGCGAACCGGCTCCACCAGTCCCGGCCATGCTCATCCGCGCCCTCCCTGCTGAGCCCCTGTCGCTCCCGTCTCCCCTTCCCGCGACCTCTGTGCCGCCGCTTCCCCGCCGCGTCTCTGCGTCCTCTGCGCCTGTCGCGCGTCCCGCAGCTCTCGCGCCCCTCGCTCATGGCCTCGAAGCTGAAACTTTCGCGCGTGAACACGTGGAGCGCGCTCTCCGCGTCCTTGTCCTGCAGGGCGCGCACGTCGTGCTCGTGTCCCTTCGCCCTGATGATAGGTGTGATGGTGTAGCGCGACTGGTTCACCGCGAAGAAGCCCTCCAGCCCTCCTCCGCACAGGTTGAACACGGCCAGAGACTCCGAGTTGGAGTTCACTGTCCCGCGGTACACGCACTCCCGCTGCACAGGCGCAGGGCTCTGACCCATCATAGCGAGCACGTACTGGGGGCTGAAGTGATGCGACAGCACCGACTCATCCCGCTCCATGTCCAGCTGAAACCGGCTCCCATCCAGGTACACCAGGTACCCAACCTTCCCTCCTCCGTGGTAAATCCGGTCAATGGTCCGCACCACCCCGTCTGTCCTCCGGGCAGGTGCGAGAAGCGACCCGCTCGCAGGTGGAAGATAGAAACCCTGGAAAGTAGAAAGCCCGGTACCCAGCTCCAACTCCACGACGCACAGCAACAGTAGCCGAAACCAGAGCATGCCCCCGGCCAGAGCACCAAGGAGCCGCACCATTGTTCATTCCAACCCGAAAAACATCTATGTATCCACTAAAACAAACCCGGAGCGGCAGAAGAGACAACTTTTTGTTCCTCCAAAAAGCGCATCCTCTCGGTGTCCAGATCCCCCATGCAAAAACAGTCAGTAGTAACCAACAGGCAAGCAAACAAAACCATTGAGGAAGGAAAATGGGAAAGAAGAAAAAAAAAGCGCAGCAGAGAGGGAGTGTGTGCAGGCTGGAGAGCACTGAGCTGAACTTGGAGAACAAAAACACAAAGTTTGCTCTTAATAGGACCCGGAGAGAAAAAGTCCTGCCCCCTTTGCGCTCAATCACCACTCCTCCACCCCCCCTCTTCTCTCTGTCTCTCCCCTCTCCCTCTCTTCCTCAAATCAGAGTAAAGTCAAGTGCTGGAGGAGAGCAGAGGAGAGGAGAGAAACCTGAACAACGCTCTCACTGGAGTATTTCCCTTTTGCCTCAGCAAAGGAAAGAGGAGGCTGTTATTGTTTCCATCCTCCTGAATCATCTTGAGGCAGACTGAATGTAAATGATGACTTTCAGGTCACTTCTGCTTCGGAATAACATCCCTTCTGATGTTTTCATTAAATCCAAGGTATCACTTGTAGGTTACGTAAAACATCACCAACAGCCACACAGGACCAACAGTGTTTTAAAAAGTGTCTCCATTAAACACCAGCCTGTTATTTTTACACTTTGGCCACTTTAACTCCTTTAATAATTGAAGTCCAACACGATTTGACTGGAGAGTTTCTAGCAAACTAAAGGGGGGGATAGATAATTTATGGCCATTCCCGAATAAGAACTCTGGGAGTTCACCGTTCCCATGCGAGACATTTAATGGTGTGTTAGAGCAGGAGGAGGAGGAGGAGATCTGTGCACACACTGGGTGCTGTATGGCCTCACTCGGGTTTGAAAAGTCAAGAAAAAAAAAGAACTCTGCAGGTGTGTGACTGTGTTTGCCCTGCGAGCTGTCTTGATTATTTATTGTAGCTTTAGGGAAGTGAGTGTGCCGGTGCCAATGGGATGTCATATTTGTGTGCTGAGAGGGATTTAGCCATGCGTAGCTCACTGGAGCTGAAGTCACCGTGTCTCTCTCATGCACAAACACAAGCTCTCAGAGGGCAGCCAACAGGAGCTTTTTTCGAAAAAAAAAACTCTTAAAAGTTCCAAGCTCATGTGCTGAGTCACCTAACAGCTATTACCTCTGCACATCACGGAGGGGGGTTTCTGTCTGCATGCCAAGAAGAAGGCCTCTCTCTTGTGGATGCGCACACCAACCTCCCCAGCCTCGCCGAACTTGAGAGCGGATATTGCATTTCAAGTTTGTGGCGTCAAACGGCGAGAGACCGTGTCTGCGAAAAGCGGCGCGCTAATCCAAAGCCTTTTGGAGCGGTGTGGGCAAGCGCGGATGCAGCGAAAAGGGAGTGGGCGTGAGAGCGCATGTGGGCGGGCGGCGGAAGCCAAAAACGGGAACACGGTGTGCTGCCGCCGTAAAGCCTCGGCACCCCTGTCAGAGCCCGCCGTGGTATCACCCACGCCGATGATACGAGCTGTGTCCAAACGAGATAAACTGGGGTGGGGTTGCACAGAGCGGGGGGGCCCAGCTTCACCTCATGACCTCTGAAGTGCTACCTACGGCCCTGCTGCCTCAACACGGCCACCACTGCACCCTGGATCCGGTGTCGAGCTGAACTTCACGTCCAAATCACCCAGCTGTTACGCAACCCATCTCCCACCCCCACTGCCCGTCTCTTTTTTCCCTTCCTGTCCTCAAGTCTCATCTCAACCCCCCTCTGACTGCTTCTCCTTTACACCAAACTGTCAAGTGTATCTCCAGGAGCACAAAAAAAAGAGACACCAGCAAAGACAGAGCCAGCGAGAGCTGCGTGTGAAAAAGGATGTTTGATCAGGGCGGTGTGACGGCAACATGGACCCTGAGAAACTGTGGTTTTCCTGCCACATATTTTGAAAAAGAACTGCTAATACATGTGATGAAAAGTGCTGCAGCTGCAAACTAATGGCACCGAGCCGGAGCACTAATGAACTTTCCACAGCATCTTTCAAAGCTATACTGAAACAACACACAGATACAGCGTTTGGCTCGCATCCCCCCCGCTACAACGTCCTCCTCTCCCTCCCCTCCTTCCTCTCTCCGCTTTGAATCTCACACACTCAGCCCATTGGATCGTTTTTAATCCCTATCATCTGAAAGCGAGATGTATGCCAAAGCAACCATATGGACATAAACCGCCCCCGTCGTATCCACACACACACATTTACACAGTAACCCGGATCACACGTGCAAAGCGGGCTGCATACAGTATCGCGCGTCACCAAAACAAGTTGTGTGTGTGAACCCCCCGCGTGCCGAGCCACGTGTGAGCAGGGGGGGACCGGCCCACTTCCTACGGCGGCTGGGAGGGGAAGGGAATCCAATACGGTTAATTGACAAAGCCGAGCCTTTTACATAACCGGCAGGCTCTGTCTAAGTGGTGGTGTCAGAATTCCCCCCGGCGCTGCTTCTGCTCGCCTCTCTCCCCTCCCTCTCCATCCTCCTTCCATCTCGCCTCCTCCTTTCCATCCCTTCATGGATGTTAAACCAGCAATTCCCATCAGGGCGAAGAGAAAACGGCAATCAGAGCGCTTGTTCTCGGCTAAACAGCTGACCAAGTGTCCCTTTTTTCCCCCCCACCCCCCTTCGTCTCTCGCCGTGGAAACCAGGTGTGTTCCCAGCATCTGTTACCATGGCGCCGAGGGAGAGAGCGACGTCTCCTGGGTGACAGGTAAACGCAGTTCTGTTGACACACCTGCACACACACACACACACAGCTCCTCACTCAACTTGAAACAAACACAATCAGCAGAAACTCCACAACGTACAGATATATATAGATATATTCATTTTAGAAAAGAAAACAATGGTGCACATACAAAAAAGCCCATTTTAAAATAAAGAGGCACACCTGTAAACAGAGATGACAACACACTTGGATCAGTCTGAAGTAAATGAAAGCCTTTTAAAAGACACCAGATGGGCTTTTTTCGCATTTCTGGAGCTGCCTCTTGTTAAATTAATCTCAAGAGGAACGATTTTTTTTTGAAAGGATTTCAATCAAAAACACTGATCCAGGTCTGAATGACAGCAGTTTCAAGTTTGCATACGGAACTGATTCATCATTGAACGTTATCGAACACTCGCTCGAGAAATGCTTCTGGAGGTTTTTTTTACACAAGCAATCCCAGTGAAGAGTACATTCTGTCCCAGACTTACAGTACAGTGAGTTGATGGTGATTTCACATTGCAACCAAAAACCCCACTGAGACGCTGAAAAATAGACGTCATGACGATGAAATAAAAAAAAAAAGGCAAGAAAGCAGGATGTAAAGTAAATTATTAAAGCATGTTCTTATCTGACATTGCACGCCTTCCAGCTCTCGTCTAACGACTTTATGAATTTAACTTGTTTTTGTTAAAGGGCTTAGAAGTGATGATGACACACCAGCCTCGTCCAGACAGATACATGCATGTCGTCAGGGGTTAGTAAAAAAAAAAAAGAAAACAAACATGAGACCGTGTTTCTTCGTGATTTCTCCCATTTGCACATGTACCTTCTTCTAAAAACATCCGTACATTGCATAGAGATCATTCATGTCTACTGCATGTTACCATTCAAAATGTTACAGTTAAAGCCCTCTGCAAAAACAATCACTATGGAGTGGTGGAGTCACTAAAAAAAAAAAACATTTTAACTTAAACATTTGGAATATAAACTATTGTGGATTCTTCTTTCTCCAAAAGCAGCAGCCACACTGTCATGCTGCGTGCTTATTCAGATGCTATGATTGCATGTTTCCCAGCTTGATAAATGACTTTTGTTTACAGTGCAAATATGTGCTAATAATGCCTTTCGTAAAAAATAAAATAAAATTTAAAAAAAATTGCACTTTCTCACGTGCACAGCAACTTCTAAAAATTTTTTGCAAACTTTGCTGCTCACTTTTTTAAACAACAAATATGTGTAAGGGATGAAAAACGGATTACTGCACATGTCAGTTATTTTGTTAGCAACAAAGTGCTAATATAATCAAGTTAGCACTTTGAATATCGGCAGTAAACAGCAGCCAATGCAACTCCTGCACTAGCTCAACTTGGTCTAAGGCGTGTTATGAACCATTTAAACTCCATGAGAGGGTGAAGCACATACAAAAAAAAATAAATCCTAATAAATCAATGAGAACACATGTCTGACTCATGGAGTCATTTCAAATGATACCTTCACCCAAAGAAATCAATAAACATTCATTGGAGAGTCAAAATCGAAGCAGACATGTTAACACAAGCGGTGATCTCTCAAGCTCTCATAGAGAGTATAAAAAGTAATGATAACTGTGTGATGCTGGCAAAAAAAAAAAAAAGAAGGGACATCTGCGTTTCTATTCAGTTGCATCGTGTGTGTTGAAAGGCTATAGGGGTTACATGGTCCTCAAGTACAGTAACTGAAAATTAAAAAAAAGACGCTAGAGAGATGCTAAGAAAGGAAATAAAACACTTAAGATCCAGGAGTGTGTGCTGTTATACAAAAACCAACTGTGGTGGCCGGGAACAGGGTGTGGAGCTGCTCTTAAACGTTACGCAAACAGTGTCCCAATTCAGGGTCGGATCTTCTACAGAGGCCTCTTGACGGCGAACCAGAACCAACCCAGGCTGCCTTCACTCCACACAGGTGCTGCCAGATGTCCATGACGTTCTATCACACGAGCTGGCGGACGTACTTGGTCGATCGTAAACGTACGTTTTCTGCACATTATCTTCAAAACAACAATCTGAATGTAGAAATCTGGTCACATGGTTGATCACCTGAATGTCCCATTAAAACTGGGGTAGGCAAAAATCTTGGATAAAAAAAACAAAATAACAAAACTCCCAAATAGCCAGAATTTAAAAATATACAACCTTCATTTGTAGCTTCACCCAAGAATTCTCCATCTAACCCAA